GAGAAACAAAACACACACTTCACAAGAACCAACACAGACGAGAGAACAACACAGGACCTCAGTCTGATGTTCATCTCCACCTAAAAGGACCTCAGTCTGCTGTTCATCTCCACCTAAAAGGACCTCAGTCTGCTGTTCATCTCCACCTAAAAGGACCTCAGTCTGTTGTTCATCTCCACCTAAAAGGACCTCAGTCTGCTGTTCATCTCCACCTAAAAGGACCTCAGTCTCTGTACATCTCCACCTAAAAGGACCTCAGTCTGCTGTTCATCTCCACCTAAAAGGACCTCAGTCTGTTGTTCATCTCCACCTAAAAGGACCTCAGTCTGCTGTTCATCTCCACCTAAAAGGACCTCAGTCTGCTGTTCATCTCCACCTAAAAGGACCTCAGTCTGCTGTTCATCTCCACCTAAAAGGACCTCAGTCTGCTGTTCATCTCCACCTAAAAGGACCTCAGTCTGCTGTTCATCTCCACCTAAAAGGACCTCAGTCTGCTGTTATCTCCACCTCTCATCTCCACCTAAAAAAGGACCTCAGTCTCTGTACATCTCCACCTAAAAGGACCTCAGTCTGCTGTTCATCTCCACCTAAAAGGACCTCAGTCTGTGCTGTTCATCTCCACCTAAAAAAGGACCTCAGTCTGTCTGTTTCATCTCCACCTAAAAGGACCTCAGTCTGTCTGTTCATCTCCACCTAAAAGGACCTCAGTCTGTCTGTTCATCTCCACCTAAAAGGACCTCAGTCTGTTGTTCATCTCCACCTAAAAGGACCTCAGTCTGTCTGTTCATCTCCACCTAAAAGGACCTCAGTCTGTTGTTCATCTCCACCTAAAAGGACCTCAGTCTGCTGTTCATCTCCACCTAAAAGGACCTCAGTCTGCTGTTCATCTCCACCTAAAAGGACCTCAGTCTCTGTCAATCTCCACCTAAAAGACCTCAGTCTCCAGTTTTTTTGTGAGAAGACAACGCATCTTTGAACAGAAATGGGGGATTCTGACTCATCTACCTCCATCTCCATCCACAACTTCATCCTCAAACCTCAACCAAAACAAAGAAGAGAACAACAGCGACCGCGGTTTTAACGGGAAACACAGAAACCTTTCACAATCGGAACATTGGGCTGACTCTGTCCGGGTCTGTATGATGGTGTCTGGAGTCTTTTAGGGGTGATGAGTTAACGGCTCCATAAATCCCATAAATCATAAATTATAAATTATACCATGTTACTGTACACTAATACAGCTGCCGTCGTCAGGACCGTCGATATGGCCACATGACTGCAGCGTCTATAACTGACTTAAATATCCAGAAGTCGTGTTTAGAACAAAGTGCAACGTATCACCTGTAAATATTCACAGATTTTTGAGATGAGAACAAACCACTAGAGTTTAAAAGAAACTGACACCTTTAAAAAACCCAGATTCAGAGCCGAGGTTCTGGCACAAAGTGTCGCTGTGAAACGAGTTAAATTATGGAAGAGTTTTGACAAAGAAATAAAAGAATCAAATACAATAGTAATATTTAAAGAACAAATAAAATCCAGTGCAATGAGTAAGTATGAAAAAGAAAAAGATTTCTGTTTGTATGTGATTAATAATTGTGTGAAATGTTAAAGTGATTCTTGGTGTTGATGTTTTGTCTGGAAAAGGTTAAAGAGACACAGAGAATATAAGACGTCTCTTCTTCTTTCTGCTCCTTTTCATTCATTTCCAGTTTGATGTTGTGACACTGTTTATGTTTTATTAAACTTTATCAATGAAATAAACAAAAAATAATAAAATAAGGAAACGTCCAACAGCGTCTGAGCAAAACTGAAGAAGCAACTTGGACGAACCGAGAAACGTTTTCAACCAAATAAACTTTGTCCAGTCGACAAACTGAATTTCTCCTTTTGCCTTGGACTAAACCAGGACTAAACCAGGACTAAACCAGGACTAAACCAGGACTAAACCAGGTCTAAACCAGGTCTAAACCAGGACTAAACCAGGACTAAACCAGGACTAAACCAGGTCTAACCCAGGACTAAACCAGGACTAAACCAGGTCTAAACCAGGACTAAACCAGGACTAAACCAGGTCTAAAACCAGGACTAAACCAGGACTAAAACCAGGACTAAACCAGGACTAAACCAGGTCTAAACCAGGACTAAACCAGACTAAACTAAACCAGGACTAAACCAGGACTAAACCAGGACTAAACCAGGACTAAACCAGGTCTAACCCAGGACTAAACCAGGTCTAAACCAGGTCTAAAACCAGGACTAAACCAGGTCTAAACCAGGACTAAACCAGGACTAAACCCAGGACTAAACCAGGTCTAAACCAGGTCTAAACCCAGGACTAAACCAGGTCTAAACCAGGTCTAAACCAGGACTAAACCAGGACTAAACCAGGTCTAAACCCAGGACTAAACCAGGACTAAACCAGGTCTAAACCAGGTCTAAACCAGGACTAAACCAGGACTAAACCAGGACTAAACCAGGTCTAAAACCAGGACTAAACCAGGACTAAACCAGACTAAACCAGGTCTAAACCAGGTCTAAACCAGGACTAAACCAGGACTAACCAGGACTAAACCAGGTCTAAACCAGGACTAAACCAGGTCTAAACCAGGACTAAACCAGGTCTAAACCAGGACTAAACCAGGACTAAACCAGGTCTAAACCAGGACTAAACCAGGTCTAAACCAGGTCTAAACCAGGACTAAACCAGGACTAACTAACCAGGAGGTCTAAACCAGGTCTAAACCAGGACTAAACCAGGTCTAAACCAGGACTAAACCAGGTCTAAACCAGGACTAAACCAGGTCTAAACCAGGTAAACCCTAAAACCAGGACTAAACCAGGTCTAAACCAGGACTAAACCAGGACTAAACCAGGACTAAACCAGGTCTAAACCAGGTCTAAACCAGGTCTAAACCAGGACTAAACCAAAACTAAACCAGGTCTAAACCAGGACTAAACCAGGACTAAACCAGGTCTAAACCAGGTCTAAACCAGGACTAAACCAGGTCTAAACCAGGACTAAACCAGGTCTAAAACCAGGACTAAACCAGGACTAAACCAGGACTAAACCAGGACTAAACCAGGTCTAAACCAGGTCTAAACCAGGACTAAAACCAGGACTAAACCAGGACTAAACCAGGTCTAAACCAGGACTAAACCAGGACTAAACCAGGACTAAACCAGGACTAAACCAGGACTAAACCAGGTCTAAACCAGGTCTAAACCAGGTCTAAACCAGGTCTAAACCAGGACTAAACCCAGGACTAAACCAGGTCTAAACCAGGTCTAAACCAGGACTAAACCAGGACTAAACCAGGACTAAACCAGGACTAAACCAGGACTAAACCAGGACTAAACCAGGTCTAAACCAGGTCTAAACCAGGACTAAATCAGGTGTGTGGACTCACCTGGTGACACGGTGAGCAGCAGCAGGAGACAAACACCTGTAAATGAAGAATGTGGCTTTAGCCTCAGGCTACAGAAAACAATGTAAAATCCCATAGACCAATGCTAAAAACATTAGCATCAATAGAACTCACAGAGAAAAGACAGATGCATCTTTAACCACTTCAACACCGGAACTAAACCAGGACTGAACCAGGACTAAACCAGGACTAAACCAGGACTGAACCAGGACTAAACAGGACTAAACCAGGACTAAACCAGGACTGAACCAGGTCTAAGTTTAGTGGGCAGTGTGAGAGGGAAAGAGGAAGGAAATATTATTAAAACTGGTGTAAAAGCAGAAGTCAAGTTTGGACCAAGTTTGCTCCTTATATGGTCAACGTCTAAGAACAGGAAGTGACCGAAAACACCAAAACTCCACCTGTGACCTGTGACCTGTGACCTGTGACCTGTGACCTGAGGTGTCGTCTCTAGAAGAAGAATCTAGTGTTTGTTTGTTCTGGTGTTTGTTTGTTTGTTCTGGTGTTTGTTTGTTTGTTCTGGGTTTTGTTTGTTTGTTCTGGTGTTTGTTTGTTTGTTCTGGTGTTTGTTTGTTCTGGTGTTTGTTTGTTTGTTTGTTCTGGTGTTTGTTTGTTTGTTCTGGTGTTTGTTTGTTCTGGTGTTTGTTTGTTTGTTCTGTCTCC